TCATGTCTGTCCAGACTCATGTGATTTATATAGCGAAGACTTTGAAGAAATTCAATAAAAGGTATGAAGTGCATTTTTTGGTGAAATGTGGATGCTTCACGTACATCTTCAAATACCATACAATCAGCACATTTTCAAGGTGGACACTCAAAGTTGAGTGTCACAAATTCAGTATCTGACCAAATGTCTCCCCTTCTGTTCCTGACTTACTGTGCTAAACAATGGCCTGGAAGTGTTTTTTTATTCCACAACACAATGATATCACAGTGAGGATGACCCTTGACCTTTTGGATATAAAATTTTATCACCTTAACATTTTATCCAATGAGTTATTTGTGTCAAGGTTTGTAATTAGGGTATGAATTCTTAAATTATGGCCAATAAAAGTTAATGAGGTCACAGTGACCTTTGACTGCCAAAATCTAAACAGTTTATCCTCGAGTTCAAATGAACGTTTGTCCCAGATTTGAAGAAGTTCCCTGAGGGTGCGCCTACGATATTACATTCACGAGAATGGGACAGATGGACGGACAATGCTTCTAACCACAGCTGTTGCCAGGGTGAGGTATAACCAGGAGTTCTATACATTATACCCATGAGGCATTTATAGGCTATAATGGTATACGTGGTAAATGAAGGGCTTGTCAGATTGTTAATGAGCATCTGAATCCTCCTCCCTGCCAACATATCTTCATACAACGCTTCATATGGTATCTATACAATTAGTGCTGCGTGACAACTTGGATTAATTCTTATAAAAAATCCTTTTGATTCTTTCAATGGAATATGAAGGAATATACAGTACAGGCCAAAAGTTTGGACACACCTTCTCATTCAATGCGTTTTCTTTATTTTCATGACTATTTACATTGTAGATTCTCACTGAAGGCATCAAAATTATGAATGAACACATGTGGAGTTATGTACTTAACAAAAAAAGGTGAAATAACTGAAAACATGTTTTATATTCTAGTTTCTTCAAAATAGCCACCCTTTGCTCTGATTACTGCTTTGCACACTCTTGGCATTCTCTCCATGAGCTTCAAGAGGTAGTCACCTGAAATGGTTTTCCAACAGTCTTGAAGGAGTTCCCAGAGGTGTTTAGCACTTGTTGGCCCCTTTGCCTTCACTCTGTGGTCCAGCTCACCCCAAACCATCTCGATTGGGTTCAGGTCCGGTGACTGTGGAGGCCAGGTCATCTGCCGCAGCACTCCATCACTCTCCTTCTTGGTCAAATAGCCCTTACACAGCCTGGAGGTGTGTTTGGGGTCATTGTCCTGTTGAAAAATAAATGATCGTCCAACTAAACGCAAACCGGATGGGATGGCATGTTGCTGCAGGATGCTGTGGTAGCCATGCTGGTTCAGTGTGCCTTCAATTTTGAATAAATCCCCAACAGTGTCACCAGCAAAACACCCCCACACCATCACACCTCCTCCTCCATGCTTCACAGTGGGAACCAGGCATGTGGAATCCATCCGTTCACCTTTTCTGCGTCTCACAAAGACACGGCGGTTGGAACCAAAGATCTCAAATTTGGACTCATCAGACCAAAGCACAGATTTCCACTGGTCTAATGTCCATTCCTTGTGTTTCTTGGCCCAAACAAATCTCTTCTGCTTGTTGCCTCTCCTTAGCAGTGGTTTCCTAGCAGCTATTTGACCATGAAGGCCTGATTGGCGCAGTCTCCTCTTAACAGTTGTTCTAGAGATGGGTCTGCTGCTAGAACTCTGTGTGGCATTCATCTGGTCTCTGATCTGAGCTGCTGTTAACTTGCCATTTCTGAGGCTGGTGACTCGGATGAACTTATCCTCAGAAGCAGAGGTGACTCTTGGTCTTCCTTTCCTGGGTCGGTCCTCATGTGTGCCAGTTTCGTTGTAGCTCTTGATGGTTTTTGCGACTCCACTTGGGGACACATTTAAAGTTTTTGCAATTTTCCGGACTGACTGACCTTCATTTCTTAAAGTAATGATGGCCACTCGTTTTTCTTTAGTTAGCTGATTGGTTCTTGCCATAATATGAATTTTAACAGTTGTCCAATAGGGCTGTCGGCTGTGTATTAACCTGACTTCTGCACAACACAACTGATGGTCCCAACCCCATTGATAAAGCAAGAAATTCCACTAATTAACCCTGATAAGGCACACCTGTGAAGTGGAAACCATTTCAGGTGACTACCTCTTGAAGCTCATGGAGAGAATGCCAAGAGTGTGCAAAGCAGTAATCAGAGCAAAGGGTGGCTATTTTGAAGAAACTAGAATATAAAACATGTTTTCAGTTATTTCACCTTTTTTTGTTAAGTACATAACTCCACATGTGTTCATTCATAGTTTTGATGCCTTCAGTGAGAATCTACAATGTAAATAGTCATGAAAATAAAGAAAACGCATTGAATGAGAAGGTGTGTCCAAACTTTTGGCCTGTACTGTAAATAACTAATTGAGTAATCGAGGACTTTACACATATTCTTACTTTATGACAGCTTCAGAGTTAGAGTATCACCTTTTTTTCCTTCCTCTCCTGTTTACCATGTCAGTAAATCTCAATGTATTACTGTCTTCTTTGGTGCTAATGGTTATATTTATATGCGTAATTAAAGCAGCTAACTATTATTAGCTCAAGTGGGTAGCCAACAACCAAGTTTTATACATCCAAGAACTTCTATAAAAATGAACTGCTTGGCAACCAGACCAGGCGTCTAAGTGAGACAGGTGTTTATTTGTCAAAATGTGTGGCCACAGCGGGCTAGTAAAAGGGACTGGGAGTTTAATTGGGGCTTGGCTTTTAATTGAAGTTTTACAGTAAGTACTTAACATAAAGTTACATAGGTTAGATTTAGGCGATTAAAGTTATGTAGGTGAAGTTAATGAAAAGAAACAAGGTGACGCCGTATCTTAAAACAACTCAAATATAGTCCACAATCCAGTGAGTTCGCCATTTTTTGTGCTGTCCAAATGTGCACTCGGAATTATTGTTCCCTATATAGTAGACTTAAGTATCCCACAATGCTCCATGAAATGTGGTGTACAACCAATGATCACTAACCAAGCATGGACGGACTATAGGGGACGGATATCGAGATGGATGAGAGCAGAGAAAGCAACTCGATTACAATCTGCTGCACATGTTTAACTTATAACAAAATGTGTAATTTTTACCAGTTTCTTTGCCATTTAATAAACTGTGAATTCAATGTGTATTCGCCAGTTCAGGAAGAGATAAAAACAAATCACCAACTGATCTTCTCAAGTGCTTAACAGTTACTGTACAGAGTAGGGCTAATAACGCTAGCTAAAGTTAGCAAGCTGAGTCGCGACTAGCTCTGAGTGGCATAATACATGATGTTTTAAGTTATATTCACAAGTTATTATGTGACTGACTGGTAAAACAAACTTCAACACAACAAAGGTTAAACGAAAAATTACTTACATTATTAGGACAGATTGCAATTGTGCTGCTCTCTCTCCTCTTTTGTCTGCCAGTGTAATGTTAAATGTGAGCAGAGCAGCGCATCTCAACACAACACAAACGGCCACATAGTACTTTGTAATGCTATTTATCAACATGGGGAAAATACACTCAGTATAATTTCATGTTTTTATCATGAATATGCATGTCAGTATGTGTTATGGTTGCCTCACCAGCTGACATTGATGTAGCATGTTTTAATTATGCGCCTGCACTGATATGATTAAGTGTTTGTTCATGTTGCAGATGAGCTCACTGTACTGTCCTCTACACAGATCTCCCTACATAGTGAGTAGGAAGTAGCGAATGAGTGAATGATTCTGGACACAGCCTGTCTTTATACTACTTCTTTATTTACTCCTGTCAGGACATCGGTCACATGATCGCAGCCTTTCAGATTAAGTGCGTTCGCCTATACACCTTTCTGACATCAGTGGGCTGCATAGGATGATTTTTCGAAAAAAGTGAAAGCCCCAAAACACACCCATTTTATGCAGCAACTAGCTATGTGTCTGCAGGCGAGAATGTCTGATAGAAAGTATGCAATATTTGAACCTCTATCTCAAACTCTCTTTGAGTCTTTGATTCTTGCAAAAGTCATAAAAGCCTTTGTCCAAAAGTGTTCCCTGTAATCCCCATACTGTATTTACAAGTCAATGTGCTGAGACCACAAAAAAACATGCACAAGGAGCAGAAGTCTTGGAGAGTAAATGGGGAGGCAGCCAGGAGGAGGCTGTGACAGACAGTTGGCTTTTTGTGGCCATTTGGAGCAGCTTGAAGACATGGTCAGACAACATGTTGTGCAAACTAGTTGTGATTGAAGCATCTTGAACCTTTGCGGCCACTTTCGTTAATACCAGAATGAGCTGTTTGAGGTGCCCTGCTTGTTTAGTGTAATCTAATTTGTCCTCCAATAAAGCCAGTAAATTGTGCAGTTATTATGTTTGGCCACTTGTTAAATAACAGGCAGAGCAGGAGCAGCAAGTTTGAGTGACAGAATTATTTCCTTTTTTATCTTATTTAAATAATTGACTTGTGTTTATTTAATTGTGTTTAAATGTCAGCTGGTTATTTAAAGCCTTCATTAAGCAAACGCATGGATTTTTTTTTTCATAAGCTTTTAAGGATTCACAGATTACCGATCATTACCATGGCAGGCGATTAAATTGCTTTAAAACTGCGTACCTCGTAACAGGTAGCAGAGTGAGGGTAGTGAGAACTAGCACTCACAGGATCTATATTTACAACAGAGGCTGAGAATGGCTGACACGGTGAATTATTAGCTCCTGCTGATGCACTGTGATGTAGCCTCATCTGAAGTACTCAGGGCAAAACAATCGCGCAGCAGAGGTTCCTCTGATCCCAAGAGGACCGAGTTTGGATCTGAAAATACAAAATGGGCTTTTGATATGGTAATTGCCTGTCAACCACAGAATGTCAGCCACATGTAGATCAGCCGGGGAGCTGAGCTAATAAAATGACACGGACTGCTGTTGGTGTGAGTGTATCAGTGTGTGTACAGTGGTACTTACTAATATTGTTGTGATGGTAAGAGTCGTGTTGAAGAGGGTGTCCGTCACATTGATTGATGGAAGCTTTCTCTCCATGGACAGTCCATCTTCAGAGTGCCATAGGCCAATCTGCAAAGAGAGAACACACAAACACACACACACATACACACACACACATACACACACACACACAGATCAGTCACTAAGTCCATCAGCTGGAAAAGGCCAATAGAAACAATTTGTACTTAATTGCCTCCCTCTACTCTAAAGGACAACAAGTATGACCTTCACAAAAGACCATGTAAGACAAAGAGGAAGCACTGGACAGATCACCATGTTGGGAGACAAGGTGATAGCGAGAGTTTGTGAGGCTGCAGGGGGAAACAAAGACAACATGTGTGTGGCTCCTTGAGGAGTGAACACGGGGCATGTGTTCAATCAGAGGCAACAGAATGCATTCATTAAACCAATTACCGGCAAATCCTGTGGCGCAGAGCCACATTCTCATTTTCATTACAGCCCGAGTGGGGATTCACACCTCCACCTCACATGGTGTCTTTCCTCCCATCCCCTTTCAATCTGTCTCTGCCATCTCCTGTTTCATTCATTTATTTTCTCGACCTAAGTTTGTGAATCCCCAACACCATGATGACCGTCTCTGCAGACACGGGCATTTTGTAAATCCACTTTGCCTCTTGCTACTTTCAGGTACACATTTCTCTTATTCACCTCCTTTTTACCATAATGGCATTGACAGGGAAAAGAAAACCTTGGTGATTTGTGTGCTCCAACCTTGAGGGATTTACATGGCTGCTTTTCTACAACCCTGGAGCTTATTAAAATCTCTGCAAGCACTGGATAAAGTGAGAAATGCAAAGTTGTCCAGTAAAAGGGAGAGTGTTTTTCCACCCAATCGCCAGTAAATGTTGCCACTGTACATTTATGCAAACTATGGATTATAACATTTGTACATTATTATGTAACATATATGTTGAAACATTACGTTTCAACAACACTGTGATTAATGTGGTTATGTTCACACACAAAAAACACTTGGTACTAGTTACGAAAAAATTATGTTTCCGCTTAAAATATATGGTTTTGGTGCCACAATTGCTGCTGGAAATGCAGCAGTGTCAGAGCATAGCGTTAGTTCAGGCAGGACACTATGTCAAGCTCAGCTCACATCTCAGCTACATCAGCTGTTCTCAAACAGCCCAATCAACTGATGGAGCAGCGGACTGATGGAAGGGAGTCAGCTGATAGATCACATGATTCCTTGCTATACAACCAAATGGCGAATCTCATTCAGGGAGCCCTATTTAAACTGCTCTGGCCTGCCTACTGTTGCTGCTTCCTCTGTAAGCCGCTATACAACCCACCTCCACCCCAGCTTCTCCTTTTCATGCTGTGTCTGACTTATCAATGTCATTTCTGTTTGTCATTGATGCTGCTCTGTTCTGTTCCCTGTGGGACTTCGCTGCTGCTCTCCCTGCCTTAGGCTTTCCATGTAGGTGCATGGAAGGGCAGGGAGGTTTGCTCTCTCTGCCTCAGGTTTTCCTCGTTTGCACATGGAAGGGCAGACAGATGTACTCTCCTTACCTTCGGCTTTTCACACAGGCACGTGGGAGAGGCTTTCTGCGTAGGCCTGAGTAAAGGCAGAGAGGCCCCAGAACAGAGCCATACTGCCAAATATAAAACTGCAAATGGAAATAAAGTTTTCTTTGAATATTCTAAGTATTCTAAGTGGTCTGCAGATTGGCAGCTGTCTCGCCTAGATCTCATGCCATCCACCATACCTTTCACCTCCTGAATGACAAAGTCAGCTTACATACATGTAATCTGAGCTAGGTCACTTTTGAAACATTGATATAATACATAATAAAAGTATAAATGTAACCTATCAATGGATGTTTTTTTTTTTGTAGTTTGACAACAGAGCTCTGACTTTTCCAGTGACTATCAATACAAGAAGAAAAAGAAGAAGAAGAAGAAGATATACTTTATTAATCCCAGAGGGAAAGTTCGATTCTTCTTTGACTCTGTTGTCATTACACACATGCACAAACAGCACCTATACATGGATTAAATGGAGAGATGTCAGAGTGGGGGGGCTGCACATGGACAGGTGCTCCAAGCAGCTGGGGGTTCAGTGCCTTGGCAGTGCCCAGGAGGCACCTCTCCACATTTGGTCCAGACAGGGACTATGGACTGTGTGACTGCTGCTCCATTTACCTGCATGAGATCTAAATTATTTACATTCAAAATCACATTACCTCTTTACTGGTGATTATACGGTAAGAGTTAAGTGACTCTAGTGGCACAATATGGGTCGTGCTATTGGCAAAACAATTTCACTTTCCTTATCATGGTGGCTTAATAAACGATCTTTTCATTTATGAGGCTGACGCCGAAACACGCAATTTCAGTATCAGTTACAAACAGAGCAGGTGCTTTATGTGTTGGCACAGAAGATAACCTCGGAATAAATCCAGATAATATGCAAAATATGTCTCATTATTAGTTTGTGTAATTTATTTCCAGTTTAGACTTAATATACGAGGAGTATGTTAAGAACTTGAGGTCATCCTGTCCACTGTGTTCCTGCTAAGATTAGACTGTGTCTTATTGATATGGAAACTAGGTAGAAAAAAAAAGGTAGCAATTTCAGCCTTTGATTAAATATTCCAACCTGTAACAACCTGTGAGGCTCACTGAGAAATAAAATGATGACAATTCAAAACACTGTGTTTTTGGTCATTTACATTCCAACTCTGTAATCTACCTCATTATGTAAACATTGCCACCCCTCTCTTGAAGACTGCGGAGAAATAATATCCCTTATCATAATAATCAACCTCCCTCCATTATGAATATTATATAGGAGGAGTAAATGAGAAAATACAGCATCTAATTTAGCCTTGATACATTGTTGCTGTGATTTAATCCATGTCACTGGAATAAGGTCTCTGATTATGTGCTAGAAAACCTTCGGGAGTATCCGTGTTGGTTGGAGACTGGAGAGGATGAACTGTTTCAGGATCAGTGTTTGATAGGGAAAAAGGAAAATACAGTAAACAAAGCTCTCCAAGCTTGGTCATAGTTTATTTCAAGGCTAAATTGCTAAAATTCTCAAGAGATTACAACCCATTCATGTTGATCAGTGCCTGCTTTTGGAGGCCGTTTAACTCCTCTCCTCATGCTGATGATGAATTCTGATGTGAGATATGTTTAAAAAAAAAAAAAAAAGCAAGAAAGAGCTCCCGGAATCAAAGATTTCCTTTGAGAGTATATGATCAAAAAGATCTTGCCTTCCATTTCCTCTGGTGTACTTGTTGAGAGAAACAGCACCTTGCTCATACAAATAGACAACCAAACCCCCTGAACAACACACTCCACACTCTGCTGATGATGGCCTCAAGAAACAGAGAGGAAGAAAATGTGAACATACTGTGGCACAACCAAAAGTGGACCCAGGAAATACGGTGTTCAGCAATCAGCGTACACAATCAGCTGTCAAAGTGTGTGGAGGTGGTGGGAGGCGGGAATCTGTGGCTTGGCTGGGCTCAGCAGGTGTCACCAGAGGTCTGAGCATGGGGGTGACCAAGAGGGTAATAGGATGAGGTGGCACTGTGACTCCTGCCTGGGAACATGAGGTGGAGGGAGAGAAGGAGATGAGGGAGCTGTGAGCAGGAAGGGAGAAGAAGCATATGCTGGCGGGGGAGGACCTGGTCCTTTGGTGGCCCTGTCGTCAACTCTCTTTGAGCTACGAGGGGGAGAAAATAGAGCCGTACTGTCTGTGAGTCACTCCGACTAACAGGAAGGAAGATATATACATCAGCTAATGTAAGCAGGAAAGCACACTTGGGAGCAAACACACCGTGACATTTATCAAATAGACTGAAAACCTTTAACGCCGTAATTATTCCTTGTACGACTTTATGCAATAAATTACACTTTTTATTATTGATCTGTGCAATAAAAATGGGAGGCTCCTCATTATATAGCACAAATAGGATGAAAAGATGACAACAAAGTGTCTAGAAGTTGGAGAGAGACCAATGCACAACTAATTAAACTGATGAAATATTAATCAGAGCGCAACACAGATGCCATTAATCTGACGGCCAGGAAAGAACATCAGTAATTTTACATGTCATTTTCCCTTGAAGCTCATTTTGTAATAATTTTGTAGGTTGTGCAAACTCTATAGTGAAGGGAACCTTAACCATCGCATTAATCCTGGTGCAGCAACAGCGTTGAACCACTGCATAAAACCTCATTATACACGTAGCACAACCCGAGAATCTATTAGACTCATAAGCTTTTATCATAGAGAGAGGAAGCTGCATACTCCTGTATACCAGATTGTGTTTGTGCGCAACAATATAAATAGCTGTAACTTGGTGTTTCTCATTTGCAGTGTCATTAATTTGATATTTACACTGCAATTACAACAAATAAGTACTGTGCAGCACAGCTTCTGAAACTAGGAAATTCAAAGTTCAGTCTGTTGACGAGTACGGTGCACTATTTATTTAAGTGAGAATCAGGGAGGCAGGAGGAAGAATAAGGTATAATAAGAGAGGGGGGAATAGGAGAGGAGCAGAAGGAGAAAGAAGGAGAAAGATGCAGGGGAATGTCAATCACTTACTGAGTAGGTGCGGTGAGGCTGGTGAACGGAAAGAAAATCAATGAGAAAGTATGAGGAGCAGCCAGCTAGGGAGCCAGAACATAAGGCGGAGAGAACAAGAGAAAGAGATGGCAACTGAGAGACAGAGAAGACAGACAGACAGAGAGAAACAGAGAGAGAGAGAGAGAGAGAGAGAGAGAGAGAGAGAGAGAGACAGAGAGAGAGAGAGAGAGAGCAAAATAAAGAGAAAGAGCGAGGGAGCGAGGAAAAAGAGAGAGAGACAGACGGGGAAAAGTGACAACAAGTGGAACAACGCACCTGTGAGGGATTACCCAGGGTTCATTCTGCAACCTGGAATTACAGCACGAGGAAAAGATTAGGGAGGCTGCTCACTGAAGCGTCAGGATTGGCTGATTTTCCTGTCAGAAAAATGCCGTATCCAATAGGGTGTGGCGAGACTGTGCTGTGACAAACGCATCCATCACGTATGAGAGAA